CAGTAAATAGGCTTTTGCTGTGTTGCTCCATTTTGGGTTGGGTCTTGGGAGGGCTGAGGGGCAGGGGTCGGAGCAGGGATTTGGGAAGCAGGCAGATCTGGCTTCATGGGGTCAGGCCCCGGCTCTGTGACTTATGTGTGGCGTGGGCACCGCTGTGCCACCCGAGGCACCCTGTCCTCTTCTGGGGATAGTGCCCTGGTGCAGAGGCATCGCTCGCTGAGGATTGGGGTCTGGAGTGTGAAGCACCCAGTGTGGGGCTTCTCGTGGGGTGGGTCCTACCACACACGCAGTCTAGTGTCGGACAACACAACTTAAAGTCTTGGAGCAGGAGACAGCGCCTGTCACCTCTCCGTCCCGGTGGGAAGTCTTGTCCCGAGAGGTCCCTGGAGTGGCCTTGCTCGGTGCTCTGCGGGTCGATCGGGAGAGGAGCCCTGAGGCAGGCTCAGTGAGGGCCCGGGCTGCCCCTCCGTGTCCTCCATACGCAGGACACTCAGTGGGCTGCGTGGTGGGCTGATCGCAGACAGGACGGGGAGCTTTGAGGACAAAAGGGGTCATGTAAAGTTGTCCAGTATGATCATCTTTTAGGGTACAGTTCAGCGACACTAATTTTATTCACAATGTTGTGAGGCCATCCCCACTGTCTGTTTCCAGTACGCTTCTGTCCCCCCAAACAGAGCTCTGCACCCATTAACCCATAACTCCCCAATTTCCTTTCCCCTCAGCTCCTGGTGGCCTCCATTCTGCTTTCTGTGTCTGTGGATTTGCCTATTTTAGGTGTTTCATATCAGGAGAATCATACAATATTGTCCTTTTGTGTCTGCGTTATTTCACTAGGCGCAGTGTTTTCAGTGTGCTTTCGTGCGGTAGCGTCTATCAGAACTCTCTTCCTTTCTGTGGCTGAATAGTATTCCGTGTGTATGCATTTCCCAGTTTGTTTATCCGCTTCTCTGCTGACTCCGTGTTGACACCAGGTTATTTCTGCCTTTTGGCTGCGGTGGAAAGTGTTGCTGTGAACATTGGTGTTCACATATCTGTTTGAGTCCCTGCTTTTATTTCTTTTGGGTACAAACTTGGGAATTGCTGGGTCCTGCATTTATTCTCTTTAACCTTTTGAAGATTGCCAAGTTCTTTCCCTGCTGTTTTGAGAGTCAGTGTCACTAGAGTCACTGTGCCGGATCAGACGGACCTGACTGGACAGAAGCATCACTCGGGGCCCCGCGGCAGATCTCAGGTCTTGCTGGCTTGCTGCCAGGCTTGGTCCCAGGCCCAAGAAGGACGGTCTCAAACCCCGAGGCCTAGGGGCAGAAGAGGTGACACTCAAAAGTCCAGCTGTGTCCCCAAGTAAGGAGGACAGCACTGCGTGGCCCCAGCCAGTTATTGGCACGTGGGAAAGAGTTCTCATTTCTTCCAAAGCACCAGGAAATTTGATAAGTGTTTTGATTTTTAAGTGGCAGTAAGTAGTTCAAAATGGGTGAGCCAAATGGAACATGTCCCCGGGTTCGATTGTCCGTTGGTGACGGTTGGCCTGTGTGTTTGTGGGGATTGACTGGTTTCACCGGTGTCACTGAAGTGAGAAGCCCCTCCGGGGGCAGTCATCCTGGGGTGACAGTGCTTGGGATCAGTGGCTGCTGGCATTGGGGAAGCAGCAAGGCAGGGGCAGGGGGAACCCAGGCCGTGCACGGAGGAGTCTGGAGGCAGGGGCGGGGCTGGGACAGGAGCTTCATCACGGGGGCCCCGCCCCGTCGGGTCAGGAGGCACTCACTCATCTCAGACCCTGCCCGCCACTGCACTCTGCTTGGTGGTTCAGAACGACAGTCCACCCTGGGGTTGCCGCCAGCACAGGAGCAGTCCCCGCCTTCAAGAGGGGCAGTCCTGCTCTTTGAGGAGGAGAGCCCTCCTCTTTCCACGATAAAGGTCCACTGTGCCGTGTGTCCATAGCACGTGTGTGAAGACTCTGAGCCGGCGTGCAGCGGGCTGCGGAATACATTTGTGAGCGTGGTGGGAAGAACGGGCGTTTCACTGGAGCGGGTCACCTGCTCCTGCTTCCTCGAGCGCATTGCACCGGGAAGGAGACACCTCTGAAAGGGCTCGTGCTCTGTGGCTTTGTGGGTTTATCTTCTGGGTCTCGCGTGTCTGGTTGCCTAGCAGCTCACAGTGTTATGACCAAAGCCTAACTGATCTGACTAGTTACAGTGAGGCCAGTGTGTCTGGGAGGCAGAAAACCTTCGTGGGTTTGGATGAGTCGTTTGGCGTTCCTTGGGAAAAGGACAAACAAAACACACACAGGGGTGGTAATGTACTTCCAGTCCAGCGCCGAATCAGGGGTATGGCTACGTCTCACTGACTGACTCTTCTTAGATGTGTACACGGGGCCGATGCAACAAATGACGGGTGTAGTGGCTCTTATGGGGCAGGACGCGGCGTGCGAATGTCTCTGGCCTTGGCTGCGCTCCCTGTGGCAGGTGTTGCCGAGTGTTAACTAACGACAGAGTAGCCCCTTTGGTGTATTTGCACTCGGTGTAGGTTTGAGCACTGATTTCCTTGGAAGTTGGGGTACCAGAGCTCTTTCAGACATTAGTGAATCTAGGGTCTCGTGAACTGTGGTTATTTTTGAGTGTTGTGCAAACTTGTTGCTATTGACACTTAAAAATCACCTGTAGGTGTAATTTACATTGGGGGAAATGCACCTACTTCGGTGTAGGTTGATGCACGTCTACGCCCCGAGTAGTTGCCTTTGCCGTGCAAGCCCGCCTCTGTGTCGTCACCGGTGTTCAGCCACGCCGGCCTCAGCAGTCGTCACCGGTCCACTCTCTTTCACTGTAGAGCACGCCGGTCTTTTCCAGAATTCCATCTAAACTGAACCATACGGTACACGCTCTCCTGGGTCTTTGCACTGTTCTGTCTTCTTCGTTTTGATCAGCGGTCTGTTTCTGAGCCTCATCTGTGTGGTTGCTGCGCCTGTATTTCATTCCTCATTATCGTTGTTCATGAGTCGAGTCCACTGTGTGGCTGTGCTGTGACCGACTTATCCATTCACCTATTGGGCGGAATTTGGGCTGCTTGCCTTTTGTGGGTGTTAAGAGTAATGTTGCTCCGACCATTCGTGCACAAGTCTGTGTATGGACATGTGTTTTCATTTTTCTCGGGTAAATGCCTAAGAATAGAATTTCTGGGTCATATGGTAAGTGTATGTTTAATTGGACAAGAAACTGCCAAACTGGTTTCCAAACTCGTTGTACCGTTTTCTATTCCCACCACGAGCTCCAGCCACCGCACACCTTTGCCAGCACCACATACTGTCAGAATCCAAAATTTTAATCGTTCCAGTGGGTGTGTAGTGGCATCTCATTGCGGTTTTCACTTGTATTTCCCTGGTGACAAGTGATCCTGGGTCTTTTCCACATGCTCATTGGCCATATGATGTTTTCTGGGGGAGTCTGTGGTCAAACTTTCCGCTGACGTCTCAGTTGAGTTGTGTGTGTTTCATAATTCTGTGTTCAGGATACGAGACTGTTTTCTCGATGTACGTCCTTTGTCAGACACATGTACTGAGAGTTATTTCTCCCAGTCTATTGTTTGTCTTTTATTTTTCCTAACTTCATCTCTGGAAGAGTCAGAGTTCTTAATGCTCTTGGTTTTTATGCGGGCCAGTTGTCCGTGTTTTCTTGGTGGCTGACCTGCCCCGTAGGGTGCGGGCCTGCCCTCACCTCTTCACCCATGAGACGTCGGCTTGTAGAGGGTTCCTGTTCTGTGAAATGTCTCACCTTCTGGTTTTCCTCCGATGGCTTCCTTCTGAAGCTGTTTCACTTGCTCCTCTGCCTTCTGTATTTTCTGCAAGATGGGAATGAGTTTTAAAGTTTCCTTCGCTGAGTTTAGTTGAATGCGGTTCTGTCTTTGGAGCTGCTTCTCTGTAGCCACAGGGAGCTGGGGACACACCCCCAATGTTAGCAGAGGCCTGGCACTTGCATGGAGATGACCCGGGAGCCTGGATCTGCGCTCTTGACCATGACTGACAGATTTTGGTGTGGTCGGTGCAGGCCTCTGGGGACAGGGACTTCCCCAGCCCACGGCTAGTCCCCTGGTGCCCCACCCCAGAAGGAGGTCTCGGAGCCCTCCGTGGTCTGGTTGGAGAGCAAGTTTCAGCCTCCGGTGCCGCTCCGAGACTCCTCGTGGCTCCAGGGGGAGGATGGAAGCTCTTTTCTAGGTTACGTAGGTTCCACCTTCCCCTACCTGGACCCGCACTGGGGACAAGGAGCACGTAGCCTGTGGGCACCCTGTTATTTTCCCGGCACGAAAGTGTGCTTCTCCGTTGTCCGTGGCCTGTTGGTGGCTTGGAGCTGGAGGTACTGTGGGGGCCGAGAGCCAGTGGGCTGTGGGTCTCAGTGCTTTGTCTTCTGTGACGGCTTTCAGGTCGGTTTTGTGTCTTCTCCTGGACAGGGTAACGAGCTTCCTTGTGGGCAGAGTATGAAGATTCACGTTTTCTGTAAAATGCACAGAGGGACTTTGGAGAGTAGGACAGAAAGTTTAATAATGAACTCTGCTCATTTCCTTGGATCCTGGTTTCTGGACAGGTTATTTCTACAGTACAAACATGCTTAGCATACTTACAGTCAATTACACAACAGTTTAAATGTTCAGAATACACAAATCTAGCTTTTTAAAAAAATATTTTAGAGAAGGGGGAAGGGAGGGAGAAAGAGAGGGAGAGAAACAATGACATGCAAGAGAAACATCGATCAGTTGCCTCCTCCTGTACGAGCCCCAACTGGGAACTGAACCCACAACCTAGGCACATGCCCTGACCAGGAATTGAACCCGTGACCTTTTGCTTTGCAGGATGATGCCCAGTGAACTGAGCCACACCAGTCAGGGTGGATCTAGCTTTTCTGCTCACGAATTGGGAAGTACTTATGTCACCTAAACGGCATCTCCAGGAAAAGCTCCGGTCATCTGACATAATGCGGAGTTATGACCTTTCCATTTTTTTCTTTACGACCCAGGAAATCTGGGATCCTCTCATGCAGTGGCTGGGGAAGCAAGCGGGTCCTGGTGGAGTCATCAAATCCAGCAAGCTCTCCCTCAAATTTGTCCCCTCCTGCACGTCTGCAGTAGAAGTCACACCAGCCGCTCTACCTGTGGTGACCGACACGACGGCCTTCTCATCAGAACACTTCGACTTGGAGATCTACCGACAAAACCTGCGGACAAAGCAGCTCGGAAAAGTAATTCTGTTTGCGGAAGTGGCGTCTAGCACCATGGATCTTCTGGATGGGTGAGTGGTGGGCCCACGGGGTGAGTCCAGTTGTGCAGAAGGGGCTCTCTGACCAGTGCTGGGGTCAAGGGACAGACACGTGGAACGGGAACTCTTCATACACCATTAGCAAGGTAGGCGCACCCGGGCCTAGAAGCGTTTAAATGCAGGAAGAGAGCTTCAGTGAAGTTCTCTGATCACAGGTTTGTGTTTTAAAGAATGGGCGGCTCCTGGGGCTCCTTGTAAAACCAGGCCTTTTGGAGTGTCCTGGGAAGAGCACTGTGAAAAGACACTCGAGCAGGTTGCACTGTTGTTTGGGTTAGCGTTCTGTTTTTGCGTCGTTAGAACCAGCGGTAAACATTTAGTTTGAGTTATTTTGCAGGGTGTCAGGGTGGCAGATTCGACGGATGTGGAAGCTGTGCTCAGTTGGAATCAACTGAGTTCAGTTGGAATCGAGCGGAGCTCTGCACTGGAAAACCTGTTTTGGTCCGTCCCCCTCCAGGACATTTTTTGAGCCCTCTGTAATCCCATGTGGACGTTCGAGATGTACTCTTATTGAAAAACGTCCTGTTTATTCCTTCTGTTTCCTGGACTTTGATTAAAGGTTAAAAAATGGAAAGCAGATGAAAGGGATTTTTTGAACTCCCAAATTAGTCAGTGTTAATTAATACTCTTATTCTGAGGTAGTTTAAAAAGTGGGATTATAGAGAGAGTGAATAAGAAAAGCATCGTCCCTCGACCTGGAACTAAAATGTGAGGAATGTAAGAGTTTCCCCCCAGAGCCAGGTTCAAAGTTTCTGGGCACTTTCCCCTGGGAAACTGCACAGTGAGATGCATAATCCAGCTTATGGGACATATGGAAATATTTTGGCCTTTCTTCTTAATAATAATTTCTGGAATTTGATGGCATGTTGATATCAAACGGGAACTTGAGGATTTGACTCTCCCAGTGCAAGTCATAGGAGGGGCAGCTGCGTGCTATGGAGGCTGGAGGGAAGTGTTGTGTCCGGGAATTGGCAGAGAGGGGCGGGGCGGGCGGAAGGGAGCGGGAGCCCTGGTAGCTGCTGAGCTGCTCTGCCTTCTCCCTGGCGCTCCCGGCCTCTCCTGCCTCCGCTCCCCACCCACCGACCCCAGCCCCTCAGTAGAGACGGGGCCTGTTCTTGTAGGTGAAACAGCTATTACTTGCTGGTGCAAACCCGTGATAATCTTTTGCTACTCAGCCGAACATTCTGTTATATCAAGAGGGTGACCCATTATAATTACACTTACATAAATTTAAAAAAAAATCAAGACCCAGCATTTAACACAAGATTTGAGGAGGTGAAATGCAGACAGAAGAAACGTGGGCGCTTCCAGACCATTCTGGCTGTTTCCGTGGGCGTAAGTGAAGACTGTTGTATGTTGGATGATCTTGAAACATCGGATGGTGCTCTCTGAGCCTGTGTGGTGGCCACGCGTTACCAAGAAGCCGTGAGCGCCCTGCTGGAGCGGGCGGCCGGGGCTCCTGCGGGATCAGGTGCTCGGGTTCCTTGTACCGCGGGGAGTCCGGGTTTGGGGTGCAGCGAGGGGTCCTGTAACCACACTGCTGCTTGGGTGCCCTGCACTGTCGGTCGGCTCCTTTCTGCCATCGGCCTTTCCATAAAAAAGTAAAATTCTGTCTGAGGCAGCGTGGACTGTAAAAGTGTGTCGCTGAGCTTATGACAGTGGCCTCGGAAACTTCTACAGATCCAGAGTGTCTATTTTGATTAAAAAAAAAAAACTATTTTAACTTTTCTGAGGGCACTTGTTTCCCCCCTCGCCTGGCCTCTGGAGGGCGCAGAGTAAGACGGCTGTGACGGGTGGTGGCCGGCCCGCTGCTGGCCACAGGGTAGACGTCGAGTTGTTCACCGTGACTTTTCCTTAAGAGAAGGAACTTGAGGAGGTCACCTTAGTGCCCAAATGACCTAAAATTGTCCACAAAGGGACTGTGAGATAAAGGAAATATATGCCTTATTACTTTCTGAGCATAAGACGAAAACACTTCTGTAGCTAACACTGTATTTGACCCCCACGGAAGCCCACCTTTTGGAAGCACGGTGGGGTGGTAATGATAACAGCAGTTGTAGGCAACATGTATTGAAAGCTTTTGTCTTCCAGACGCTGCTTTTATGCTCCTCGCACGTATCACCTAATTGCGTACGTCATCTTTCAGTGCCTCGGGTCATTTGTCACCGGAGCAGAGTCGGGCCTGGTTGTCACAGCAGTGTGTGGAATTGTCCCTGCTCCTGTGCGTTGATAACCATGTTTGGCACGTGGCCTCAGTGGGTCCGCTGGGCAGGGCAAGGAGGACTTTCCACACCACGGCCTGGGTTTGCTCCACGCTTCGTGTTGCTGTAGGTGAAATGGGGACCCTCGAATCTCCCTGGGTGGGCAGTGGAAGGGAGAGACTCCCACACTGGCAGTGGGTAAGTTCCTGCCGGTCTGGTCTGTCCATCTGGCAGCCTGGCTTCTGCTTGTTGTGGTTTCTTGCCCAGTGTCCTTGGGGGTCTTGACTTTGCTTTTTTAGGGAGAAGGGGAGTTTTAACCTTACCACCTCTGAGACTAGCATTGGAAGGGATGGACTTTTCACGTCCTCATGGGTTTGGGTACCGTTTTGGGGGTGAACAGTCATGGCCGTTTCTGGGAGATAGAAGTGTTTACAGCTTTTGCAGGCCTCTGGCTGGCTTGCCCCAGCCTTCCCCTGTGAGTAACCGTCAGAGACCCGGTCTGGACAGAGTGCTCTGTCTCCCCGCCGCCGCCCGCTCCGATCTGGTGGCAGCTCCCTTGGGCCGAACGAAGTGCTGGGCTTGGGTGGAAGGTGGCCTGTCGTCACTCGTTGGTGTGAGGCTCCTGGGCGTCCGCGGTGAAGCATCCGTCTTGTCACTTGCTGAGGCTGCAGGGACAGCCCCAGAAGCTCCGGCTCAGATGCTGACAGACTGCCCCTCTTTTATCAGATCTGTGTCGCTCTGAAGACTGGTCAGCGCAGGGAGGCCGTCCCTCTTTCATTGACCTTTACGCTTCCAGTGCCCAGGACTGACAAACACCGCCCTGTGCATTTTCAGAGCTATTTCCTATGGTGACGCAGCCTCTACCAGACACCTGCTGAGCTGCAGACCCTCCCACGAGACAGAGGCCGGCTGCATGACAACGGCAGTCGTCAATGGTGGACCTGTGACACCCGTGTCCTTGCCACCTGTCCCGCCCAGATGCTCCCTTTGGGCAGCAGGTCAGGCCTTGTTTCTCGTGGCTTACCGATTCTGTGCCCGAGATGCAGACCCCACTCAGGTGGCCATTTCCAGGCCGGTTAGGATTAGGCTCAGCAGTGTGAGAGAGGTCCCCAAATGCAAGTGGCTGCAGCAGGCTGGACTGAGGTGGGCGGTCTCGGGCCAGCGTGTGGCCCACAGTGCCAGGGGCCCAGTGGGCTGCTCTGTCACCCTCAGCAGGTCCCATGGGTGCTGTCATTTTAGCCAGTGAGCGGGGGAAGGGCCAAGAAGGACATGGCTCTGTTCTTTGTGGACTCTCTCTGGTGGTTGGTTCCATGTGAGTAGCCTGGACAGAGCTCCCCAAGGTGGCTCCTGACGTTTGTGTTCGTGTCCCAGGGCCGGGACCTGTGGTAGTAGCATGACCACATCTACCTGCAGAGAAGGCTGGGAGATGAGTGGGGTCTTCACACGCAGCGCCCACAAATCCACGCACCCTGGGGCCCCCGTCCCAAGGAGGAGGGGGGCGGGCACTGGCCTGTGCAGTGGCTCCAGAGTCCGAGGGGTTGGAAGTCGCAGGCGGAGGAGATAACGCGTTGAATGGAGACGTGAGTTTTGTTTTGCTGCTCTGTCGGTGTCCCTGGAGCTGCTTTTCTTACGTTTGTGTAAACCTGGGGGGTTGGGAATGTCTCTTCAGACGAGCATTTTGAAGGACTCTGTGGTTTCTTTAGCGACTGCAGACCCAGCCGGGCTGCAGAGGCCTGGAGGCGCCCCGAACACTTGTGCCTGCTGTGTGGGCGTGTGTGCAGGGTGGGTGGTCGTGAGGCCGTGGACCCCACCCTGAGGATGCTGGTGCTGCGTTGGTGCCTCCGCACAGGGGGCAGAGTTCTGGGAAGAGCCATGAGCGCAGGGAAATAAATGCAGGCGTCGCCTGCTGAAAAGTAAATCAAGGCAATTGGAGGGCCTGTGCCGCCCGCGTCCCCGCCAAATAAAAATAAAAGTGAAGACCGCGTGAGTGACTTCCCTTCTAGTCTGACTTGGCTGTGCCCCCCACCCAGGCTGGTGAGAAGAGGAAACTTCACGGTGCATCCCTTCTCCGCTCACTTCCTCTGACATCGGTTGCTGACCGTGGACTCTGCATTGTCTACCCTGTTGTCCGGGAACACCTTCTGGGTGCGACACCCACCTTTTTCTTTCCATGCCGCATCCTGGCAGGCGTCCCTGTGACCTTTTAGCTGAGCTGGTGGGACTGGGTGGGTTCAAACTAGACTGTGGTCCATGGTCACGTCCTCCAGCCGCAGACCCAGACAGCCACCCACTCGTGTGTGCCATCGCGCACCCGTTGGATCTCGGGGAGTCCGACCAGCCCTCTGCTGTGGGGGAGGCGTGAGGCCGGGCCCCAGGCTCAAGAGCTCAGGGGGCCTGAGCTGTGGTGGTCATTTGGAAACGTCTCTTGTTCGACTTACTGTGCCTTCTCCATAGCTCGAGCCACGTCTCCGTCAGGTACCGCAACCCTCCGTGTGCACAGCGGAGCGCGTGCTGAGCCCAAGGTCCACAGCCTTGTTTGTATCAGTTTCCTCCACGTTCTGGCACGTCCTCGATCAGCTGGCCATGGGGTGGTGGCTTTCATTTGGGAAGAAGAGTTCATGTTTCTTTATCAAGTAAGTTTGTTTCGTTCACATTGATTAAGTCCCTGCTTTTTCAGGCTTACGTTTGCCTTCATCGTTCCTGGAAGAAGTGTGATGGAGCATGTCCTGGGTGCTGGGCGCTGGAGGTAGACCGTTGGGGAAGAGGCCCTGCCTC